GTGCTGATAAAGGAATGTTTCGCTCTCAATATGCTGCTCTTCCCAGCGCCTCTCCGCCGCGCCGCTGCCGCCGCTCCGAAAACAAATTGTCTTAGGAGGGTGATTATCACCGTAGGTTGTCACTCGCGTTCCCCGGGGAAGTGCTTCTTAACTAGACCACATAGGATGTTGAAATTTGTTTTGAGGTCGCCCCTTGGGGTCCTTTACCACCTTCAATCTTGAGTTTTGAGCTGCCACTTCTGAATCGGCCTTAATAATATCGAGAAGTGGTCAAAAAGTGAACTCCGTCCACTTCTCCCGCACCAAGTCGATTTCGAAAAGTGGTGTTTAACAACCTCCTGCGAGATGAAAGCAGACTTTCTTCTGACCAACATGAAAGAAAAAGTATGTGGGGTCACATCATCGGCCACGGTGACTTTCTGAAAGCAACAAGCGTGAAACAGCACGTCATCAAAATTGTTCCCCCAGTTTTCATGTGAACTCCGTCCACAGTGCTTATTTAGGCACCAAAATCGCTAAAATAGCTTTAATAACACGACCCGACTCGGGAATTGTGCATCTTTCAGTTCTCCATCCGCCACCACCAAAATCAGCTGGCTGGTGTTGCGCGAAGGGAGTCCAAGTGGAATTTAGTCTTCGATTCCGCTGCGTATGTTTTTTAAAACGAACTCCGTCCACCCCCTTTTCTCGAAAACCAATGTTCCAAAAGTGCCCCGATTTCTTCAAAAGTTAGGTTTTAGTGGCCCCTTTGATAAGCGCTTGGTCGGAAGAATCGTATCTCAGCCTAGCGACCAGTGCGTGGCGAGATACAGTGGTTGTAAACGGTACAAGAAATGAACTCCGTCCACCCCTTTTCAAACTGCATATTTCAGCATAAAAATCAGGTTGTCCCGTAACAAGATTGATCAGAATGAATTGTGTCGTCACTTAAATGCACTTAATAGGCACCACAGTTCCTCAGACCTGCATTTAAATCGTTTTTTTTTTTTTTAAGGGGAAATGGCGAACATAACCTCAAATTGCCGTACGGCGCATGGCACCCATACACCTATGGTTGCCGGTTTGCCCGGCGCTTCTCTCTGTTCTGTTCAGCGCTGTGCTGTGCACTTAGCTGGGGATCATTTTACTTTCTTCCACTTCTGTTTTGACCACTCTTTGGCATAATCTACGACCGTTACCTAGCCTTAGAACTTGAAAAAAACAGCAATTTGAAATTTGATTATGAACTATTAATTTCTTCCAATCTTTTTTGGGCTGTCATTTCTAAACCCGTGGGCCGATTTCGCGGAGGCTTCGTATTTTTATCCTTCTAGTAGTCCCATATCGCCTCCGTGCAAAAAGAAATTTTTTCGGGAACCTTTTATTTCAAAAGTATCCTCGGGCTAAAATGACAACCTACGCTGATAATCACCCAGGAGTCCGTGTTGTCGCAGCGCCGCTTCGCTTGCTCCGCCGCGCTTCTTCATATCGTCTCTCCCCCCCCTTCCCCGCCCGTCTCGCCTGGCCTCGGAAATGGAAACATCCGTCACAAACAGACAAACGAATGATTGTGGATGGAGCCCTGCCCGGCCGCGCCGCCGCGCCCCGCCACGCTCGCGGGCCTGTTGCTCCGACGATGGCCCGCTGCGCTTTTCAGGCGGCACTCTCCCCGTCGCTCTGTCTCTCTCGCACGTACGCGGGGTGCCCCACGAGTGCGAGAGAGACAGAGCTCGGAATCAGCCTGCAGCAGCGCGGCGGGGCAGCCCGTCAGCGAGAAGCGCAGTGCAGTGCAAACTCGGTTGTAGTGTCTTCGCAATTTGCGAAACTCGGAGCAGGCAGAGCAGTCGGGGCGACACTCGAGTCCGCTTTGACCTTCCCCGCGCCCCCGCGGCCCCCGCAGCCCCGGCGCCCCGTCCTGCAGGCCCTCGAGCATTCCGACGCCGGCCGAGTCTCCCGAGTCGGCCGCCCATGTGCTTTTATAGGGCCAGGGTGGCCTGGGCGGCCAGGGCCCTCTGCCCCTCTGTCTCGGCGTCGCTGCCGGCTGTGCCGGCTGTGCTGGCTGCTCGGCCAGGGCGGCGGGGCGGGACGCCTTTACGGTCAAAGGGAAGCGGAGACGCGGAGCATCGGCTTGGCGACGTCCTCGTCGTCCAGCAACGCCGCGCCAAGGCGGCCGCTGCGTTCTTTTAAGGGAAACTTGCGCCGCGTTCTCCCGGAACGGCCCGGTGCCGTAACTCCCGTAACTCCTGACCGCGAGCAGCAAGCGGCGGAGCGGCAGAGCCTCCCCTGCGGCTTCAGCCCTCGTCCCCCGCGGCCGCCACGCCACGCCGCGCCACACCGCGACACCGGAGAGGCTCGCCTGCCACCTGGTCACCCGAGCCGTCCGCCCCCCGCCCTGCTTGTCCGCCCTCGCCCCCGCCCTCGCCTGCAGACTGATTCCGAGAGTCGTTTTCGTCGCTCTGTCCCTCTCGCACCCATACGGGAAGCCCCATGAGTGCGAGAGAGACAGAACGACGGGAACGGATCTCGGAATCAGTCTGCTGGCGGCCGCCGTGGACAATCACGCGGTGTAGGGGCGGCGGGGCGCTCCAAGAACAAGGGCCGAGCGCGTGGGCGCGCCGAGGCGGCGCAAGTTTGCCAGTGTGCCGCGCACCGGTCCAGACTGTTTGGGAGTGGGACGGGCCGACGCTAAGCTCCGCAGCGCTTCGCAGTGGGGTCACCGTCCCTCGGCAGCGTCGCCGCTGCGCCGTCACCCCCGGCGGCGGCCGGCGCCCAGGGCGTGGTAACTTAACATAACAATAACATAACGTAAATTCGAGGATACCCAGAATTTTTGGTATTTTTTTTCGGTTGGGTATATATTTTCTTCATAAATCGGGCATCATTTGCATTAACGTTAAGCAGATACCAAGGCACTTAAAAGTGATCGAAATAACGATAAAAGAGTAACAAAAAATAAAGTCGGGATGAAAGTAACCGTTATACTTGTAACATGTTTAAGTTGTTTTTCAACTAACGTTAATTTTTGAGGCGTTTCTTTAATGTTAAAGTTATAACAATAACGAAAATTATGTATCATATTCTGATACTGTTATAACAAGAACCAGGGAACGCAAATTTAATAACGTTATTGACAAGGCCATGACGACGGCCTGATTCAGAGTGCCTAATTCCTCTACCCAGTAACTTGGTGATTTTTGAGAGTTTGTTTTCTGAATTTTCCTGTCAGTGATATCCGTCCGTGGAAGGTTGTGGATCGGTCACAGTGCCATGCAGCAGACCTAGGCGGACAGGACAGGCTCCAAGTCTTTCACCTTTTGAGCAGAAGTGACACAGACGTTCATGCGACGGCCCGTGCTGGTCGCGCGTGGTATGCGAACGCTCCCTCCTCTAACCAAAAACGCATGAAACCTCCAATCGCGAGGGAAGCGCCGTGTAAAGACGTGCGCGCCATCTAGCGGCGGCATTGCTGTTGACCACTACGGAAGGCCGTATTGGGACATCGGCCATCGGGTGCGTGACTTTCAATGCGATTTGGTGGCGATCAATCGCGTTAAAACGCATCAAATTATATTAAAAAAATGAGGAAACTGCTCTGTTCTTCTGCAAGCTTGCCACTTGGGCTCGGTTCTACCTCACATTTCTTGCCCGCCAGGTTCAAATTTCTGTCTCGAATGATGCTGGAAAGAAATATTTCTGTCTCGATCGACAGCGTTGACGTTGACATGGCAACAACGTACCACTAGAGAAGTTTGGAGAAATTTTGCGACGGCTGGGGCTTTTGCTTGGACAAGCAGTCGTAGTGCCCGTGCCCGACGCGTACTATTCAACGAATGTGACGTCATGTTCGTTTGAATGTGTATTTTGTCATGCTCGTTTGAATACGATGTCACATTTATTGGAACGATGCACGGCCGTTAAGTATACTTAATCAATCGTTTGGACGTGACACAATTCACATTCAGCGAAATGACGTCTTATTCGGTAAATAACAGTGTACCGCTAGGTGGCGCGCGCGTCGCCTCACAGCGCCTCCCTCGCGTTTAGAGGTTTCTTACATTTTCAATCAGTGCAGGGACGGTCTCTCCCTCACGCAGGGATGCGCGACCCACCAACCCTTCTCAGTATCCATGATCATCGGCTGTGAGGGTTTCTGAGGCTGAGGTGCCGGCTCACGGTCGGACAGTGGGTTCATCGCCCACGTCTGATCCGCAGGGCAGCTGGCAGGCATGCAGAACGCACGCGGACGCTGTTGGCTTGCTTAGACATTCAGTCTTGGTTTTGTCACCTATATCTTTGAGTGTCATTGGTGCGCCAGGTTCGAAAAGAACAAACAAAATTCGAAATGGGATTCCAATCGCCCAATTGAACTTAAAAGTGAGAATGGGGGAGTGCACCGCGTCGGTGCCAGCGGGAGCCGGTATTTCCACAGACGAAAACGGTTTGTTTCAATACAACAGAACAAAAATTTCAGGGTAAAAGAACGTTATTAACATAACGAAAATATTCGGGGGATATATTTATCGTTATTCTTCTGTAACATTAAATGATACCGGCCATTATTCGGCTATCATAATAACGTTACAGGCATACCCAATAACAATGTCGTTGCGTCATTTTAAGTTATTACTGTTAACCGGTAATTTTGTAACGGGCTGTATTGTAGCCAAAGCAATAACGTTAATTCCTTCCCGTGCGTTATGGAATAAAATTGTACCCCTTAACAATAACTTTAACGTTATTTCATGATTTCGGTTAAGTTACCACGCCCTGCCGGCGCCCTCGGACGTCCGGGCGGAGGGTGGCGGCGCGGCGGCCGGGCGCGTCGAGTCGGGATTGAAAGTGCGGCAAAGTCTTGGAGAGTGCCGCCGAAATAAAACTTGCGCGACGCGACGGGGCAAGGCGGGGCGAGGCTGGCGGGGCGCTCATTGGAGGCCCGGCCCGGCGTCCGGGGTAGTTAGCGGGGCGGTGCTGACGCTGACGACACCCGGCCTGACTCTGACTCTCTGCCGCCCTGATTGCAGATGACGCCCATGGTGGACGCGCGGCTGCGCGAGCCCCTCAACAGAGTGCGCCTGCTGTCCGTGCCGCGCCACACCCTGGAGACGACGCACTTGCTGTACGAGGGCACCTTCGGCCAGGTGTTCCGCGGCCACTGGCGCGCCAGGCCCGGCCACCAGGAGGACGCCATCGTCAAGACTGTCTCAGGTAAGGTCTCGCCGCCGATTCACAGTGGGCGAGAAGACCGGCAAAGGCAGCCAATACTCTAAAGCGTTTTGAGCTCCAGAGTCGCTGAACAAAGACTCGAACCGAGCGTGTGACCCCACCAATGAGTTCCTCGTTCGGAGAGCAATCCGTTGATGGAGGAGTCACACGTTCGGTTCAAGTCTCTTTCAGGGACTCTGGAGCTCAAAATGCGCTCGGAATTTTGGCCGCCTCCACCAGTCTTTTGGCCACCGTGCTTCTGGCCCACTGTGCGCATGCCTGCCCGCTTGCTGGGCGCGTCGTTTGGTGACAATTGCGAATCGTTTTGCTTCCGCAGACCAAGCCTCGGAGCTGCAGATCTCGGTGCTGCTGTCGGAGGGCCTGGCGCTGGCCGGCCTCAGCCACGAGCACATCCTGGCACCCAGGGCCGTGTCCGTCGAGCCCGGCGAGCGGCCCCTGCTGGCGTACTCCGTCAGCATCAAGTACGGCAACCTCAAGAGGTCGGTAACGCCAAACTGTTTCACCTTTCCTCAGGTCACTCCAAGCGTACTGACACCTTTGTCGCGTTTTGCACAGGTTCCTGATCCAGAACCGCACCGGCGGCGAGGGCCACTTCGCCATCCTGACGAAGGACATGGTGCACATGGCGATGCAAGTGGCGCTCGGCGTGGCGTTCCTGCACACGCACCGCGTCTGGCACCGCGACATCGCCACCCGCAACTGCATGTAGGTGTCTTGACTTGTTGTTGTTGTTGTTGTTGTTGTTGTTGTTGTTGTTTTTGTGGTGGTGGTGGTGGTGGTTCTTGTTGTCGATGAGCGCATCGGGTGCCTCGTGATCGGCTCGGTGTCTGCGGCCTCCGCCCGTGGCGCCGCGTGAAACCGAAGCCTCCCGCCGCGCTGCCGTCGCGCTGTCGCCGCGGGGGGCGGGGGCGGGCGGGGGCGGGGGCGGGGGCGGGGGCGGGGGCGGGGACGGGGGCGGGCGGGGGCCGTGGGGGTGGGGTGGCGCCAGTCCCCCGGCCCGCCGGCGCCACGCTGTTGTTGTTGCTGATCCCCTTAATCCACGGCTCGCGTTGCGTTCCTTGTCGGCAGCGTGGACCCGGACCTGCGAGTCAAGATCGCCGACCCCGGGCTGTCCAGGGACCTGTTCCCCAACGACTACCACTGCCTCGGCGACTCGGACAACCGGCCGCTCGGCTGGCTGGCCCCGGAGAGCCTGCTGCTGCGGCACTTCAGCGCCGCGTCGGACGTGGTGAGTACGCCGCCCTGATTCCGAGAGTCGTTTTGGCTGCTCTGTCTCTCTCGCGCTTCGTCACCCCGTGAGTGCGAGAGAGACAGAGACGAGCGTCAAGGAAGCGCGTTGCCTGATGGTCTAATGAGTCGTCCTGCCTGCAGTGGGCGTGGGGAGTGCTGCTGTGGGAGCTGGTGACGCTGGCGGGACAGCCCTACCAGGAGGTGGACCCCTTCGAGATGGCCGACTTCCTCCGGGACGGCTACCGGCTGTCGCAGCCCGCCAGCTGCCCCGACGAACTGTGAGTCCCACCGACACAGCCGGCACGGTGAACATGGCGCAACGGGGGATTGACAATCTGGGGTTTGTCCGCAGGTACGGCCTGATGGCGGCGTGCTGGGTGACCGCCCCCGAGGACCGCCCCTCCATGACGCAGCTGCTGGCCGGCTTGCAGGAGTTCAGCGCCGCCCTGGGCCACTACATCTAGGCCGCCCGCAACGAGGCCTGCGCGCAGTGCGACGCGGTGCACCCGGCGGCACACGTCGCCGGCGTCCTCGGCCCACCGCGTTTCCTCGGACGGGGACGTGGAGGTCATACCGCGAGGGGGCAACGAATGGTGAATTTCGTGTCAGCCGGATTACCCCGGATTACCCCGAATTACCCCGGATTACCCCCGAATTACCTCCGGAATACAACAACAAAAATTCCTGGGTTACCTTTCGATTTAGCAGGATTACCCCGGATTACCTCAAAATTTTCCCCGATTATCCCGGATTACCTCAAAATTTCGGGTCATCCGGATTACGGATTACCAATTTGCTGTCAGCCGGATTCCCGAAGTCGTTACCCCCTCGTGATACCGTGATGCATGATCGTGTTAACCAGTGTTCTTTCCTGGCGGTGAGACGCCCGGCTGCCACTCTGGCTACATCAATTTAATGTGATACTTTTATTTTTTTGGTTCGTAAATACCCAAATGGGAAAAAAAAGTGGATACAACTGCCACTAGTTTATTATTGTGAATACTTCTTATTAGTCCACTATTTGTCAAGAATTTTTAATTAAAGTATATTTATTGAAGTTATATGTTTTTTAAGTTGTGAAATAATTAATATGTACCTTATTAGATGTTGTCGATATTTGTTGCATTCGTCTCTTCTTCGGTGTATATTTTAGTGCCAATAATATCAGTGAGAAAATACCTGTTCTGTTATCCCATGTGTTACATTATTGTTATTGGGAGAAATTCTATTCATGTCGCCGTAGACTATTCAAACATTCAGTATTACCTCATAAACATGAACGTCTAAAAAAGAAACTGCTTGGACCATCATTGTGGGCATTTAGCTCTGTCACGTATGAGACAAAGTGAAGAGACATATTGGAATTTTTCCCAAATTTTTCTGCTATGTTTTGTTACAATTCATTCGATTAATGTCGATAGTTCTCTATAGAACACAACAACTCGTCACAGTTACTTGTAATCAGAACTTTCTTTGTGTCACTCTCAATCTTTTACCCTAGATGTCTAGACATGATAAAATCTCATTTTACTGTATTATCAGCCTCTGCGCGCTGTAAACAAAATAGATACTGTTTCAATGTTCGGTACTCATTGGTAAGACATTGGTATATTGATCGTATGATCGACTGTTTTCAATTATTAAAATTCGATGTTTTTTGCATAAACTGTGTTGTGTCACACTCATTTCAACCTTGTCCGAGTCCGAACCTCCAAGTCGTTCAAAATAATTTTTCATCGAGAGGCCATCACAGGCCACTCCACTGGAATTTCCCACACGCTAGATCTGGCTCCGCCACTGGCAAAGAGAGCACATCAGACTGATTCCGAGAGTCGTTTTCGCCGCTGTCGTCTCTCTCGCACTCATGAGACGTCCCCTGTTCGAGCGAGAGGGACAGAGAGATGAAAGCGACTCTCGGAATCGGTCTGCAGGGTGGTCAGAGGCCAGAGAGGCATTCCCGCCGCGGCCTCGCCGCCCAAAAGCACTGTCAGTGCCGGGGCAGAGGCCGAGGCACTGCTAATCACATTCCAGAGAGGACAGCCCCGGCCCGGCCAGGGCGGAGGGCTGCAGGGCCGAGAGTTCGCCTAGTACCACGCAACTACAATGGGTTTCGCACACAACACTGGGGCATGAAAAAATGTTCCCCAAAATTAAATTCTGATAAAAACTGGAACTGCTCGGCACCCACACCATAAACTTTGGACCACGCGCCGTGGGGCCGCACTAAAGCCATCGACGCCAAAATATATGGCAGTCATTCAAATTCGCCGCCTCAAAATTGGACGCCAAGAGAAGAAAATAAAATAATAATAATAAAATCTTGTGCAATTTTTGAGCCATTTCTTTTAATACGGCGGATTCCACGCGGCCGGGCTGTGGTGGCTATGGTGGGCAGCGCGCGAGACGAAGAGAGAGGGATGACTCGGGGGCGGGGCAGGGAGCGGGAGTGAGAGCGCGCGGGGCTGACGGGGGCGCGTCACGGCGGAATCCACTCATTCTCCCCATGCAGCGCCGAGGCAGCGCCAGTGCCAGCGCCGCCCGCATTCACTTTTATTCCAGAATAACACAGGAAATAAAAGCAGAGGGTCACCCAGACGGGCCGCATTCCGAGCCGACACTCGCAGAAAGAGAAAGGCAGAGCAGCCCCACACAGCACCTCGCCACACAGTGAGCCAAGCAGAGCCAAGCGGAGTGGGAGCAGGAAGCAGGGCAGGAGGTGCAGGGTAGGCTAGGTACCTGTTTTTAAGCGGTCTTGCTACCGCTTCTAGCTCTGCATCCGATCCCACTCATCCCATCCCATCCATCCACCCATCCAGCGCGCTCGGAGGGGACTGCATTAGTCGGTTCGTCGTCGTCGTTTTTTCGATCCAAGTTCTTTAGGTTCGACCTCGGTTTTGTCCGACCTCATCGGTTTTCCGACCCACTGGGGAAGAGGAAAACTGCTTCGAAAAAGGGTCAGAATGGTCGAGCCGGCGGGTAGTATGATGAATTCGGCGTTCAACTGGTGGAGTTGTGGGCACGGCGACGACACGGCGTGACGGTGCGCGCGGAAGACGCATCACGGCGGGGGGAGGGGGCGCTTTGTTTCTCTTTAATGACATTAACTAGCAATTAACATGCAGGCAGGCTCAAGGAGCGGCAGGCCGACCCCTCACCGCTCCGGAGACACCGGCGGCACCGCTTCCTAGCCTCGTGCGCTGTCGCTGCCGGCGGCCTCGTGGACCCCGTCGTGGACCCCGTGGACCCGCGGCGACGAGGCTTGGACACGGGCCCGGCCCGGCCCGCCGCCACGCACCATGGGCAGCATGGCGGCAGGACACTGCGGCCTCGATACACTATAATGGCCTTCGTGGACCCGCCGGGCACACGGCCCCATGCGGTCCGAGGCTGAGGGAGGCCGGGACCGAATTAAGGTTAACGGTCGGGGCCGGCGCGGCGGGGCCGCCGAGCGCCCGGCGGGTAGGCAAGCCGGCCGCACCCGCGTCGCAGCGTTGCCTATCCCGCAGCGTGCAGGCGCCGAGGCCCGCAACGGTTGCCTGCACCGTGCACTGCAAGGGCGGCAGCGCGTTTGACTGTGTCATCGGCGTTCCGACTGGGACGCCAAGCCTCCCCGGCCTGGAGGCTCCAGGGATGCAGCCCCACCCCGCCCCGCCACGTGTGCGACGGGACCTGGAAGCACTCCAACCGTATGACGAAGGGGGAAGGAATGGAAAAATATTGCCTTGAGGAACAGGGTCAGGCGCGCCGGGCAGGGGGAGGCGGCTGGCGGCGTCCCTCCCAGACAGAGAATGAAACAGGTGTGGGTCTCCCTGCGGGAAGGTTGACTTATATTAATGCAGGGATGGCTGGCCTGTGCCCTTCTCCAAAAGGGCTGTGTGGGCTTTGGGGGACGTGCGGTTGCGAGGCGGGGGAGGGGAGGGGAGGGGTCTGGGAGGCGAGAAGCTCCTCCGGCCACCCCGCTGGCGTCCTCGTGACGAAAACGAAGGGCGACAGCAGGGGGCCCGGGGATAAGCCTGTTGCAAATAGACACCGAGCACGCCGTTGTTACGGAGGTGGGGCAAGAACGTGAACGTTTCACCGCACTCCTCCGCGTTTCCAGTTCCATTTCTTTTTCGAAAACACGTGACGTGTTGGGAAAGAAAAGTAACTGCGCGATGACCGCAGTTCGAGGCCCTGGAGGTCTGTGCACTGCCTTACAGTGTGTCTGGCGCGCTTAGTCGCGTCGCGACCCTTGACGCCGCGCGGGCGTGGCGGGCCTGGCGGCGTGGCGGGCCGCAGCAGGGGGTCCCGCGCCGCGCGCCAAGATGGTGCGCGCCGCCAGCGCTGGCACTCCGCGGTAATAGCTTGTTTTACACTTCAAAGAGTCAATTTACTTTTTGAACGAAAAGTTGAATGGCAGACATAATCTGCTGGTGGCGGCCCGCCCGGCCCGCCCGCCCCGCCTGGGGTGGCCGGGCCAAAAGGAGAGAATGAGGCGAGGGGAGTGGGTGGGGGAGTAGTTGTGTGATGAGGGAGTGTGTAAGAGTGAGTGAGTATGTGTGAGGGCGGCGCTTTGTGCCGCGGGGGGGGGGGGGGAGGGGCTGCAAGTCAGGTGCCGCTCAGGGAGTAGCCGGCCAAGGGGTGGGGCGGGGCGGGGCGGGGTGTAATGCACAATGGGGATTCAATTCGCCACAGGAAATTGCCCCATTACTGCTCTGAATGGCCTCCTCTCGGCACCGCCGTGCCAAATTCAAATACTGTACACACGTCCAGTCAGTCAGGCGGGCAGGCAGACAGGCGGGTAGGCAGGCAGGCAGGCGGCCTGGCAGTCGGGCTGACGTGCGGGGCCAGGTGTAAAGTAGTTAGTCTCCCAGATGGGATTAAGCGATACTCAGGCATTGAAGCGGGAGTGCGCCTCGCTGTCGCCCGGCGGCTCAGCTCAGCCTCGACGCAGGACGGGGAGACGGAGGAGTCTCGTCCTGAAACTCTCCGAAAAACACAGGCCACTCCTTAATTTGTTTGAACAAAAAATGAAAAGTTGAACCCACGACCCTTACCGCTCGCAATGGTTTTCGATCCACCTGGTGGGTAACAGGACAAAATACGTCTTGTACGTCAAACTGCTTAATTTGGTTGAACGTCGGCCGTTTTCTCGGATTCCGAGGCGTTTCCAGTGGAGGTACGACGGAGCGCGGAAGTAACGCACCTGGCGGTCCCAAACCCGGGCCTAAAGCAGCATTCGCGCCAATACGGCATGCGCCAGGGCGCGCTACACGCACTCACACACGCACATTATCCCGTGTACGGCCGTAACACGCGGACGACGCGCGTCTTATACGAGCAGACGCATAACCCGGCAGCACTCCGGCCAGATTTCATGACGCGCCAAAACTGTGCTTGACGTCGTCGTTGTTGCTCGGCAGCAAGACGACGCGGCGGAATGGCAGGTCCTGCCGCGGGGAAAGTCGGACGCGCAGGACACTGTAAGGAAAAGCCAAGTCCTGGGAACTGACCGAGATTCATGGGAATCCCGGGAGACGTGGATTATTACCGGTTCAAGTTCTACAGAGAATCCCTGCATTTAGGTCCTAGTCTGGCTAGAATCTAAAGGTAGCATCGCCGAAAATGTCGTCTGTGCAGCCCGGACCCAGGCCATTTTAGAAGTCTTGCCTTTGGCGTGTGGTACCCTGGTCTGTGGTTTAGCAGAGTCTCGGGTTCGAATCCGCACTCCGCCTCTCATTTTCTCGCCGCAGTCTTGTCCCGGCGGATCGACCGCGGGTGCCGTTCGGTGGAGAAAAGATTATGAGAAGCCCTCCGGGAGACGCCCGGCCCGGCCCAGCCCAGCCCACTCGGGGCTAAATGTCGACGGCCGAGTGTGCGCGTGCGTGCGTCGGTGTCTCTGTCTTTGTCTGTTTCCTCGTGCGTCTGTGTGTGTGTGAGTGCGTCTGTCCCTCTGTGTGGGTGTGTGTCTGTCTGTGTGTGTGTGTGTGTGTGTTGTGTGTGTGTGTCTGTGTGTGTGTGTCGTCTGTGCGAGGCGGGAGGGGGCGTAGGCGTCGGATGATGAGAGGGGCGGCGCTGACATTAAGCCTGGTGACGCAGCTCGGGAGGTGACTCGCCAAGAGAGAGAGAGAGGCGCCTCCTCGGCAAAGACGACAAGGACAGCGAGAGCGGCGGCAACAACGCCAAATGCCTGTGCGCGAAAAGGGTAATAACCGGCTCATTTGGAGTATGCCAGGGGCGGGGCGGGCTGCAGCGCGCGAGGCGGCGAGGCGGCGGGCCTTAAAAGTTGCTGTCGTTGCCGCCCGCCTGTCCGCCGTCGCGCCGTCCCGCACCAGCCTTCCGTCAGGATACCATCTCTCTGCCGAAAAAGATGGGACGAGACAAACAAGCACGAAAACGCGCTGCACCGCACAAGCAGCTTGCAAATGCTCGAGGCAGTTCGGTGCATCGCGCGGCTGCTGTCAGATTCCCTCCCCTCCCCTTTTTTTGTGCCAATTTCGTGCATGATGTACTCGGCGAGAGGAATCAGAGGGAAGCGAGAGGAGCCGAGAGGCGCCGGACGCCGGCCTGCAGGCTGAGGGTCGTTTCCGTCGCTCTGTCTCTCTCGCACCGTTACGGGACGCACATAAGTGCGAGAGAGACAGAGCGGCGAAAGCGACTCTCGGCATCGGCCTGCTGGCGCCTGGT